CAGCAGGGGGAGAGGGGGAGAAGCCTTTGGATAAACAAGAGCTAAGTCATCTGGGCAGAAAAACGGCTCATGAAATTAACCAGACAAGGCCGGTGTTTCCAGGAATATTTCAGTTCTGAGGTAACTGTCACTGCAATGTGGGTGGGTGGGGGGGTGCAAGGGAGAGAGCAGAAGGATCCAACTGACTGACCCATAGAGAGAACCAGAAAGAGGGAAGGAGACTCAGAAACCCAGAGGGAAAAGGGGCTAGGAAAGGAGAAAGGGGACAGGATGGGGCTCTACCCTCTGTCATGACAGCTTCCACTCCGGGCAAAATGTTCCCATATCTCAGGCAGCAAAAGCATCTGGGGCAGAGACAACCTGTGGTTTAGTTGTAAGTAGCTTGCAGCTTGCCTGTGTCCCTAGGAGGGAGAGTGCAGTGGGCATCCTGGAGCCCTCATTGATCCTCCTCTCCAAGTTCATGGTGTGCAGGTGGACCTGGCCACTAAGGACTGTGTCCTGGGCCCCATCTCCCAGTCCTGGCACCCGACCAGCTCCCGCCCCAGCTCTGGCTCTGGCTGCTGCCCACTGATTGTTTACATCCCCGTCTTCCCCTGTGTTTATAAATCCGGCTGAGCACGTGAGGAGCTAATGAGTGCAGCTCACGTTTCCTGCTGCAGCCCCCCTCACCCCCCCATCCTGGCCCCCGCCTGGGCCGGCCCCTAATTCCATCCAGATCCCTGGGCTCTGGGAACCGAGGCCCCCCTCATGAACACTCACAGGCACACCTCGGACTGCAAGCGCATGGCCACCCTGACACGCTGCACAGACAGGCACACCTGTGTGTGCATGTCTTTGGCCAGCTGCCCCTCAGTCCGTAGCCTGTATCCCCCAGGCTGACCTCACTCCACTCACTAAGGGTGTGGGGCTCGGCAGTACAGATGTGCCAGGATGGGCAGGGTGAGTAGGACAAGTCAGCCAGGAGACTCTGCTCCTGGAACTGGTGGCTAAGAGCTATCAGCGGAATGCATAGGAGCCAGGGAGGCATCGCAAAGCTCCAGAGTGTTGGGCTAAATGTGGGAGCCAGAAGGAAAAGCCCTGCCCTCAGGCCAGATCAGGAAAGCATCCTGGTGACTTTGAAGGGGTCTGTTGAGGAGAATTGGGGGAATGAAGCAGGTTAGGGGTGGTGCCCACTGTGGTATGAGATCCAGGCATTGAGACTAAGAACGGGTCCATGGGGGAGCTTCCCAACCTGCCTTCCCAGGGAAAGGCCCACAGACACAGCGGGACTCTCCTGTCCTCTGGGCTGCCTGGCCTGCCCTCCCCTCCATCCTCTCCTTGGTTCCTGTCCCCCAGGCTGCTGAGAGGTGGCTTAGTGAGTGAGTACACATGAGCCCCCAGAAGTCAGGAGACCTCGCTTTGCCAGCAACCCATCAGGTAACGGGGCTGTAGTGAGGGGTTGCACCATGCATGCTCAAGTTCCTCAGCAGAACCACGTGGGGCTCTGTCTCTGCTGTCCTCCTCAACAGCCCCCTCCCTGCCCTTCTCTTCCACCTAAATGACAAGAAACTGAGGCCTGGGAAAGAAGCAGCCAGGCAGGCCAGCTGCCTTGCCTTGTGAAGTCCATGTGGACACAGGAGTTGGGCTTTCGTTGGAGTGAGAGGGTTCTGGATGGTGCTGCAAAAGGACCCTGGGGGTGCTCAGAGAGAGCTGAGGCCAGGGAAGCTGGGCCACCGGCTTTAGCGAGGCAGGGGAAGAAGTTAGGAAATAGTAGGGGTCAGTGTGTGGGTGAGTTTCAAAGGGTGTTGTTATCCAAAAGGCCTGGGAGGGGCTCTGAGGGATCGGGCAGGAGCCCCGGTGTGAACAAGCAGGTGGGATTGTGGGGAGGAATGTGAAGTGTCACTAGCAGCCGAGCGGGTGTGGCAGGGTGGTGTGCACAAGTGTGACTGGGCAGGAGTGCGGGCTCTGCGAGGGGAGAGGGAGGGGGAGAGACTTCTGGGGCAGCTGGGTGACAGTTGCTGCCATCACTGCCTGGTGCCCTTTCCCTGGTTGACCTCGTGGCTCCGGCGCAGTGAGTGTGCCTGAGCCAGTGGTGGAAGCAGGTCTGGTCCGCCAGGGGGATGAGCCTCGGTGTCCCACGGAAGGGGCATTGTGTGTGGGAGCCCAGGAGGCGTCTGCGGGGACCCTGAGAGACGGGGATGTCCGCCGGGTTAGAGAGCGCCTGACAGGAGTGTGTCCAGTGCCCCCCGCCCACAGCCTCTCTAAAGGGCTCGGATTGCTCCGGCCGCGGGGGACCGCCTGCTCCCCTCGGCTCCGGGCAGCCCCCTCCGACCCCTGCGGGAGGGTCAGGCCGGGCGCAGGAGAAAGCTGGGACGGGGTCCTCCGGGACTGGAGGTCTCTGGGGAGGACTTCTGGACAGCAGACAAGGAAGCGGGGAGGGCAGAGGTCAGGGGGACGCTGCGAGGCTCGAGGGGCGCGGGGTTCCCCTTGGGGGCCTCGGCGCTGGCA